GTCCTGGAGCTCATGGCCTCAGGGATTCCCCACCAGCCCTCCACACCTGGCAGGGAAAACACGGGCCAGATAGCATCCCCAGAGTAGGGAGGGCAGGGGGATCCAGGGCTGCCAGCCGGCTGGTGGGACAAAAACAGGGACCATCCAGGGACCACACAGTGGATGGCAGGGGCGGAGGGTCCAGCCCCAGAGGGCAGAGCCAAGGCTGGGGCTCCAGCCTGGCAGCCACACCGGGAATGCCCTCCTCACCTGTGTGGGGGTGAGCCAGTTAGGGTGGCCGGAGCGGGGACTGTTGAGCCAACAGTTGTCCCAACTGGAACCTCAAACTCTGGGGGTCTCACCATCCCTGTGGGGTGCAGCCACTGCTGGGAAGGGGTTCAGGGTCCCTAGACTTGGAAACAAGCTGGCGGTGGAGGCTCGTTGGCCCACCATGCACCAAGCCAGCGAGTTTCCAGGTCTGCCGTCCTCCCTACAGCGGAGAAGAAGCCGCGGCCTGGGGCCAGGCGTCCGACCAGCCGCCTCCAAACCAGCCCCACCCAAGAGGCCCAGAGTCCCCCGTCCACATGCATGCCTGTGCCAGCTCCCGTCCCTCCTGCTCCAGGCCCTTCAGAGAAGCCCAGATGCCCCCTTGGCCCCCTGGCCTGCACGCTGGAGCAGGCGAGGCCCACGGGGTCGGCCACCTGACCCAAGGGGGAGCCCTGGGGAGCGCCACAGTTCGGGCTCTGCAAGCTGAGACCTCAGGCCTGCCAGCGTCAGCCCCAGGCTGTGCCGGTTTCCAGGACCTGGCAGAGGGACGGCCACGCATGCCCGTCCCTGGGGATCAGCAGATCTGGGGAGCAGGCATCCAACGCCAACCTAGCCACTGTCTCCTGGCCCTGGCGCACCCATGCCCAGTGGGAATCGTTGGACCTGCTTTTCCTGGATGGGCCTGCCGTGGGCTCCTGGGGGGTGGGGGCGGGGCCACCAGAAGACTGTGCGCAGGGCGCGGGCTCCCAGCACAAGCCCCCAGAGTGAGGGAGGCCCCAGAACCAATTCCTTGGGTAGACATGGGGAAGCCCATGAGCAGTGCATGCCGGCCCTCTGGAACCGCCCCTGTTGACCAGCACCCGGACCACTGGACCTGGGGAGGGTGAGGCCGCCAACCGCACTGTGTCCACTCAGTCCTCCAGGATCGATGACCAGCGCTGCCTGCCGCCCGACGTGCTGCCCCGGGGCCCTACCATGCCGGACGAGGACTTCTTCAGCCTCATCCAGAGGGTGCAGGCCAAGCGCATGGACGAGCAGCGGGTGGACCTCGCCGGGGGCCCGGAGCAGGGAACAGGCGGCCCGCCCGAGCCCCAGCAGCAGTGCCAGCCTGGTTCGAGCTAAGGCCCTGTGCCCACCGCCGGGCCCGCCCTGCCCCTGCTCCTAGACGCTGGGCTCACAGTCACAGCCACGTCCTCCCGAGGCCATCGCTGAGGACAGGCACTGGGCACGCAGCCCCACGGCCTCCCTGACCCAGAGCAGCAGGCTCAGGCCGAGCTGCCCGCGGCGGGAGGGCGTTCTTCCATCCCGGGCTGGCCCCCCATGGCCCTGGACTTCCTCCCTCCTGCCCCGCCGCAGGCCGGATGGGGTCTCCGGCATGTCGGCCCCGACCCGGTGCTGTCAGACTCCCGCACCCTCTCCCCCAAGCCCTTCTCGTTCTGTCCTGCCCTGCCAAATGTGAAACCTGCTGTCTGCCCCACTCTCCCCAGAGGTGTCTCTGAGCCTCTTCTCCGGGCCACCAAGGACAGGGCCATGTTCTGTCCTCCCAGAGCTGGTCTTGGGACGGCCATGCGGCCGGCTTCGTCCCCTCCAGCTTCGTCCCGGGGCAGGGCTCCCTCCAAGTCTATCTCCCCACTCCTGCCCGGGCCGGAGGAGGCCTACAATCACAGAAGGCCCCCCAGACCAGGCCGCAGGGGCAGCTCTGAGGTGCCTCCCCCTTGCAGGGGCCTTGATGGGAGCTGGGCCTGTCTGTAAAGCAGAGGGAATGGCTGGGCATGAACTTCAACACTCCAAACCCCCAAGCCAGGAAAAAGGGCAGGGCCTGGTCCTGGGGACGCTTGCTGGCAGTGGGCACAGTGCTCAGTCAGGGTGGGAGACAGCACCAGGCTCTGTGACCCTCACCCGAGGCGGGGGGTCAGTGGAAGCTGGGGAGGCTTCACTCAGCTCAACCCTGCAGAACCCCCGATATGAGAACCCCCCTCCTCCCACCAGCTGGGGGAGATGACATTACTGCTGTCTCCCCATGGGGAGGGGGCTCACAGGGCACTGAGTTCAGGATCCTGAGACTGGCAGGACCTGTTGGAGCCTGAGATGGGCCTGAGGTTGCCTGCTCCTGTCCAGACCCAGCCGTGGCATCTCCCGGGGGCCCCACCATGGCCCCACAGCCCCCAGGGCTGGCAGTTCCATCTAGGAGGGTGCATCTAGGAGGGAGCCCGCTCTCAGGCTGGGATGGAGAGGCAGTCCTGGGCCCGGCGAGGTGAGCTGCCTCTGGAGGGGCAGGGCCGCACCCCAGGGCAGGGACAGGTGCCCGGACACAGGGTCTCCAGGACGTAGCGCCCCCCTGCATACTTGAACGTATGTGCGTATTTATTGCTCACATGTGTGTGCCATGTTGTCAGTGGGTCCTTTCCAACCCAAGAGGTACATTTGTTTTTCTGTTTTTTCCTGAAAAATAAAGTCGGCCAAGTGAGTGTGGTCCGTATGGCCTTAGTCCCGGGGGTGACCCAGGTAAGAGGCTGCACTGTGCAAAGTGTCCACAGATACCCACGGTCTGGGCCCTCTGAGACCTCAGAAAGACGGAGTTCCCACTGCATTTAACCACAGGGGAGCTGGGGCACAGAGGGGTGAAGTGGCTGCCTGCTGTCACCCCTACCTCCTCACGATGCCAGCCCCTAGGGAAACAGAGCATGCTCTGAGCTGACACTCAAGTGGCCGAGGTCAGCCCCCGAAGCAGCAACCCCCAGGTCAGCCCCACGGCCCCTTGAGGACCCAGCCTGCTGCCATTCACCCTGCAGCCAGTGCGGGGAGGTCCTTTCCTGGAGTCTGATCCGGCTGGGCTCGGGGTCTGGACACTGAGCCACAGTACAGGAGCTGGGGGCAGATCGGCAGTTTTGGGGCTCGTCTGGGCGCTGCTTGTGGTGGGCAGCACCCCCACAGGGCCCCTGTCGGGGGACACACAGCTGCGCCGGGCAGTCCGGCTGCCCCTCGCCACAGCCCATCTGGCCACGTTGGCAGCCACAGCCTCTGTGCTGGTTGACTCCGTTGCCTCCTCCACCCCAGAAGGGGCCTTGGGAACCAGAATCAATGTGTACTCCAGGTCCCGGGTCCCGGCCAGCTTGCGGGTGGCGGTACATGCACACAGGGTCCAAGTAACCGTGCAGGGCCTGGGACGGATCACAGCCAGGGAGGTGCGGCAGTGCCCCCCACGCCACTGGCTGACGCATGGGACAGCCTCCGAAGGTGCGGCTGAGGAGTCCTCTTAGAGAGGCACATGGTGGTGAGGGATGTCCAGGCCAGCAGCCGTCCCCAGGAGGCAGGGATGTCTTGGAGGCAGGCGGTGCAGAGTGCTGGGAGATCAGGATGGCAAAGCCCCTTGCAGAAACCTGGCTGTGGCAGTGGGGCTGGGGGGAGGGAAGGGCGGAGGAAGACAGGGTCCAGGGGGACCTCAGGCAGAAGCTGGTGGGATGTGTCGGGCACGCCAGGGGTGGCCACAGGTCTTCTCTACTCTAGGAACGTGCCAGCCTTGGGAAGGGTGTCCCTCCAGGGCCAGCCTGGGCCCAGAGGTGCTGGCACCAGAGAAAAAAGACACAGTAACATCCACATCCCAACTACTGGCCTCCATCTCCCCAGCTGTAAGAGGAGGGATTGGCCCGAGCGGCTCTCCTCGCTCTAATCCTGCACTTCCAGGTCCGACGGCTCCCTGGACCTCCCCACATGCTGGTCCAGGCCCTCTGGAGGCAGTGAGGCACCCAAGCCAAGCCCAGCCCACCGGCCTCTGCACTTCCAGGCCCCCAAGAGACCCCCAGTCAGTGCCTCCATGGAGAAGCAGGCCTGGGTGCGGGTGGCTCAGCGAGAGGAGGACAGTTTCCACAAATGGCACAGAGGGTTCGGGGTGGAAATAATAGAGGGTTGTTGGCTGAGAGGACGGGTAATCGAGTCAAAGCCCACACCACAAGCGCTCTGGGAACAATGCCACCAGGTCCCGGCCTCCCACGGGCCGGATGTGAGCTGGCAGTCCCGGTCGGGTCCTGCTGGGAGGGGCTGCACTGGGTCCCTGTCGCGCTCAGTTCTGTCTCCACCTCCCACCTCGCCCCATTCTCTTTCCTGCCAGAGTGTGGTGGGTGATTAATGCTGCAGGTCACACTGCCCAGAACGCTTCTGCAAATAAACAGGCTCCTGTGTGTGCCCGCTTTCATCAACACGGGAACATCCTGTGCACAAACAAGGCTGGGAGACAAACCCCACGTGCCTCGGAGGGCCCTGGGGCATCCAGAGCGCTGTCCACCGAGGGGAGGAGGCCCAGATGGCTCCCCCGGGAGGGGCCTGGAGCTCCCGACACGTGGCCACACTATAGCTGCTCGTCCTGCCTGGGCCAGCAAGCAGCCCGGTTTGCTCAGTGTCACCGACAGCCAGCGGCCGAGGGCCAGGGCTCAGGTCTGCACTGGCTCACGGAAGGGAGGCCGCCAGAGCTGGCCAGGGGGATGGCAAGGGGCTTGCAGAGGAAGGCTGAGGCTCACAGGGGTGGTGACCTGCTCAAAGTCACGCAGTGACAACTAGGAGGGGCTCTGACTCCACATCCAGCCCCCTTTCCAGGCGACTGTGGCCCCTGTGGGCAAGTCCAAGGCGACTCCGTGTAGGAGGAACTGGTGAGGCGAGAGGTCCTGTGGCTCCAGCGTCCCACCCAGCAGCACCAGGGATTCCGAGCAGTCATTCTAACTCCAGAAAAAGAAATGCCACCAGGGCCACCGGCCCCAGCATCCGGAAGTAATGTCTGTTTATTGATAGAAAACAGGCCATGTCCAGAGAGGCCCAGGGCCAAAACATCCTTCTGGAAGGCAGAAGCTCCACGGTGCTGGGGAGCGCAGGGGTCAGCTTGGCTCTGTCTTGCCACGGCCGGGGGGACCCTCATCCTCACCTGCTTCTGGAGCAGCAGTGGATGTGGGGGTCCCTGCAGCCTCTAGAATGAACTCCAGGGCCCCCTCGCCCACCACATGGTGCACCTGCTCGCCTCTGGCCGCCAGGATCTCTTCGATATTTCTGGGAGGCAGGGAGGCAACAAGGTTCTTCAGGGCCCCCTGCTCGCCCTGCACTTCAGTCCCCTCAGGGTGCCCCATGGCCAGGCCAGAGCTGCAAGCACCAGGCCCAGCACTCCTGTGGCATCAGGCCACGTGGGCACTTCAGATGCTGGCCTGTGTGCCCTCACCAACCCTGTGTCTCTGCCAGTATGTGCCACCTCAGGAACCCAGTACTGCTCCTGCCCCCTATGCGCCAGAGGGAAGAGTCTGCAGCCCCAGGTCTGATGGGAGGACAGCCCCAGCTCCAAGGGCCAGGTACCACCAAGTGCCCAGCATGCTGGTCTCAGACCTGCTGTCACTGTTAACTGTCCTGCCCAGGACCTCCCGGCCAGGCAAGGCCCGGACCAGGCTCCCAACACCACCTCCACTGCTCTCCCAGCAGCCAGGGCCCAGGCCACACCGCCTGGCCCACACTCCACACTTTGCTCTGGGCCAGCCACTCCGAGACGGCAGAGGGCAAAAAAGTACCACGCCAGAGAGACAAGACTGGCAGTGAGGGCAGAGGGCAGGCAGAGGCAGGGAGGCAGGGCCACAGGGCTGGCAAGATTTAGCAAATGAAAACACAACCCCTACTTCCGGCATACTTAAACTAAACAGCTGTCTGGGGGTTACAGGAAATTCTAATTTAACTGTGTATCTTGTATTGATAAGGTGGCTGGATTGCCCAGGTGAGATCTATAGACCTCCACACTAGGGCACGGTTCCCCCAGGGAGGCCAGGGACCTCCTGGGTGGACTCCTGGCCCAGCCCTGGGGTACAGGCCTCACCTCTTCCCATTCAGGTCCGAGAACCAACCCAGGTTGTCCGCGATGATGTGGTGGTTCTGGCAGCCGGGGCAGGTCACAATGACCACGCCTTGGTGATAGGCCAGCTTGGAGATGCGCTTGGAGGACCTAGTCCCGCAGACCTGTCTGGGACAGGGCAGCTGGTGAGGCTGTGAGCGCCGCCACGCCCCTCCCGGGAAGACCCGCCCCTCGAGGAATAGCTCCACCCACCGCCCAACCGCACCCTCTCCCGGGAAGGCCCCGCCCCAGGAACGGCTCCACTCCTCCTCATGGTCCGCCTCCCCTCCTTCCCAGAAGGCCCTACACCCACCTCGCCCCAAGTTGTGGCTCCACCCCTTCCTCTGACTTGACCCCGCCCCCTGCAGGAAGGCCCTGGCGGGCCGCCTCTCCCCGCAGGCTGTGTATCGCCAGGTGCGGGTCTGTCCCCGATTCCGTGCCGCCGCGTGCCCACCTTGCAGGTGTAGACGAGCTGGTAGTGCGCAGCCTCCACGCGCCCCAGAGCCGCCGCGGGCCCCGGCCCCGGCTCGGAGCTTGAGCGCCGCCAGCCCCAGGCCCAGGCGCGCCGCCTCCCCACGACCTCTGGACGGGCCCCGCGGCCCCACAGCCGCCTCAGGCAGGGCCCCCGGGGCTGCACGCGGCTCAACAGCCTCGGCGCGCCGCCCAGCGCCGCCCGCAGCATCCCGCTCGCCGGCTCTGTCAGCCCCGCCCTGGCCCCGCCCCGGCCCCGCCCCGCCGCCATCTTGGAAGTGGGCACTAGGCGGAAGCGGCCTTCCTGGGCTTCCGTCCTCCGGGTTGGGGTCGCGCTGCGCTTTGCCGCCCCCTGGCGGCCTGATGGGGCCCTGCGTCCACGTGCAGCTCGCAGCCCGAGGACACCGAGGCCCCGCAGCGAGGAGGGACGGCGGCGGGGCTGCGCGCGAGGGTCCGAGCGGGAATGCGGGTCACCCGTGCTGTTTATTTATTTAAGCTGCCGTGTTTTCTCACACTTCTACAATGCATGCATGTATTGTGTGTTACATGGTGAAACAGAACAGACCCTGACGTTACACAGATGGCGTGTGCATGGGGGTGGCGAGCACCCGCATGGCCTCCTCAAGCTGAGTGCCGCTTCACAAACAGCCCCCAACGTCAGGCTGCCCGGCTCAGTCTTTCAGGGCACTAGATTCCTCCTTCCAGGCTAAGCCAGCGACGGCTCGGGGAAGTCTGCGCCCCAGGGCGTCGGCACCCCCAGGTGGCGGGAGGCCCGGCCGGTGGGTGTGCCCTGGACGGGGCCTGCGCTGCCGCGGCTAGGAGCCCTCAGTGTCCGTGTTGTCGCTGCCGGTGGTCTCCTGGTCCGCCTCCCCCTGCCGCCAGCCTTTCTGCATCTTCCGGAGGGCGCGCTTCCTGCGAAGACACAGGTGTCTCAGGCGCAGACCCGGCTGCAGCTCCCCAGCCCGTTTTGGAGAAGCCGGGGGGCCGCCCGCCTACCTGCGGTAGTTCTCGAAACTCTCCTTGAGGCGCCGCCGCTCCTTCTCAGGCGGCTCCCCGCTGCTCAGGCCTGCGTCCTGGAGAAGGGGAAAGGCTTGGGCTCCGGCCGGCTCCCCTGAGGGCACCCTCCCTTCTCTCTCGCACCCCCACTGGCCCCGGTAACTGCAGACTGGTGGGGAGGCGGGGAGCTCAGACAGCCTCAGCTCAGCGCCAAGCTCGCCGCGCTTGGGAGCTGCCTGTACCCGGGGAGTGAGCCGGTGTGGGTAGCCTGCATTTCAGATGCCAAGACACAGGCAGGAGGCCAAGCCACGCTCCGGCCTGGGCTCCTGGCCATTGTTTCTACAACAAAGCCCGAGGTAGTCCTTGCTCTCAGGACTCCTGTGTTCACCTACTCAGGGTTGACGCCGCATCCACTGTAAAGTCCCCAAAGAAACCAGGACCAGGCACGTCCACCTCCAAGCCCCCCGAAGCTGCTGCAGTACCCAAGAAAAGAGGGGGATCCACTTCGCGTCCCAGACAACCGCACCCCAAGCACTGAGGGCAGAGACCTTGTGGTCACCCCTCAGCCGTCGTCGGGGCCACTGCAGGGGGTGCCTAGGGCGAGGAGCCACCCTCCCTGGGATCGGTCACCGTGAGGCCCACAGCTGGGGGGACCCCACCCTGAGGAAGCCTTACATGGGGGGTCCGTGAAAGCTGTTCCTGGTGCAGAGGTGCAAAGGGCTGTTCCGGGCTCCCCGCACCGGCCAGGCATCCTGGAAAGGAGAGTCGTGCCTGTGGGGACTGCCCACCTGCAGGGCCACATACAGCAAGGGTGCCCCACCCCTCCCCGGCACTACGGACACCTTGTGGGCCTGGTGGGATCCCCACATGGGTCCAGTGTAGACTCTGCCTTCTGTAGAGGAGACTGAGGACTTATAGCCTCCCTTGCCCATTCATTGCTCCAGGATGCCGCCAGATGCCAGCCCAGGCCCAACGCTCCTGCCAGTGACCATCCCTCCCCCAAGCTGGCTGCCCCCCAGGCAGGAAGGCCTCCCAGACCTCAGGGGAGCTTAAACCCTGGCCTGAGCAGCACTGTCCCCCATCACTCCAAAGCATCTGTGGGCATGGCGGCCCTGGGGAGAGAGTTGGAAACAGCTACAGTGACGGGGGTAGGGGTACTGCACAATTGGGAGAGAACCTTCAGGTGGCTAGACCCCCTCAGAACCCGCCAGGACCTGGGCAGACCAGGGGTCAGGACCCTTGGGCAGAAACCATGCATGTCCAGTCTCAGCCCCGCTGTGGGGAGGGCCAGGCCGGGGCTGTCCTGGCCGTTGGCAACCCCTCCTTAGAGCCAGCCCCTCCCCTGCTCACCCTCGGACCTTCATGCCTGCCCCTACTCCTGCCACAGCCACCCAGGGAGATGGTGGCAGTGCCTGAGCTGGACTCCTGGGTCTGCTCGCCTCTGTGCCTACATGGGGGCTTGGCGTCCCCAAGTTCAAGTGTTCTGGGCTGCGGCCAAAGGTGCTGGTCTTCACTTCCCCATCTGCGGCTCCTCCTTCCCCTTCCGCCTCTGCTTGGAGGCCACAGCCTGGTGCTCAGGAAGCTCGTCCAATTCCCACGCAGCCTCCCAGGGCCCCTCTGCTGGGTCCTCCCTGACTCCCACCTGACACCACCTTCAGAGCAAACACCTACCTCATCACCACTATCTGCTTCTGGGCACTCGGGGGCTGCTCCCAGCCAGCCACCCCAGTTCTTCCCCCAGAGAGGCACAGGGGGCCTGCCCTGCCCGCTAGAAACCCCCACCACTGCCTTACCCCCACTGCACCGGGACACAGCAGGCCCTTGGCCACCCCTGCATTCGGCCCTGTCCCTCAAGCCACGTGGGGCCCCGTCTCGCCCCACTTTCTAGCTTTGTACCCCTGGGCATTTGCTCATTACCACCTCTCCCTGCCCAGGAGGAAGCTTGGAGCAGCTGAGACAGTGGGCCTGCTCACCTCTGCACCCCGGGAGGCTGCCCAGAGGGGCCCCACACTCTCCACCCCAGGGGACACTTGTCCCACCAGCTGGGCCCTGGGTTCCACTGGGCTCTGTAGTTTGTTCTCTGGGTGACCTTGGCCATTTTACTTATCCCCAGCCCTAGTTTCCGTCTGTGGGGTGGGGGTTGTGGGGGCTGAGACAGGCATTTCGGCACGGGCTGCCTGTGCTGAAGATGGGCCTCGCTTGGGGCAGCCGGGAGGCCTCCGGGTGCACTGCCATCCCCACGTTACCTTTGTCCGAGAGCTGGGTGTCCTCCAGGTCCTGGGGGAGCGAGAGCTTCCGAAGAGAGGCAAGATGTCCCGTTAGGTCACCCCGCCAAGGACTGGACCCAGCCACACTGCCCACCCCAGCCCTTGGCCCTCAGCTGGGTGCGGCCGTTGCCATCACCCCCTGCACAGAGCTTCTCAGAGACTCAGGTGCTCAGCAGACAGATGTGGGGGAGGCCAGCCAGGAAGGTCCCGCCATGAGGATGCAGGAGCTGGGCACTGTCCATGCCTTGCCTTACCCCTTGAGCCGTCGGAGGCCTTAGCATTTGGCCACCTGCTCTTCCTCCACCGAGCCCAGCCCACTGAGCAGGGCCACGTGACGGGCAGTGTGGGGCTGTGCCTGGTGGTGGCTCAGCCAGGACCCCAGGTGAAGGAAGGCCAGCCTCGTGCCGGCTGGGGTCTCACTCACCTCCTGGGAGCTCCTGGGTGAGCCATCCTCCAGGTCGGAGCTCTGTGGTCATAGAAAACGGGGTGGGTGGGCTGTGGGGGCAGAGGGCTCCCCAGGCACAGGGTGGGCAGGGCATAGAGCGGGATCCTCCAGGGAGCCCTGGGCATGCCCTTAGCCACGCCAGGCCCCCTCCATGCCCAGAGCAACGTGCTAGGCTGCCTGATGGCCAGGCCCAGCACCCACCCTGGCCCTGCAGCCCCATTTCCTGCTGGGGCCCTGAGCTGCTCCTGTGCCCTCACCCCACTGCGAGGAGGGGTTCGGTTAGGTGGGGGCCCGTCACAGAGGAGGGTTGGGTCAGGAAGGCCCATGTTCCCCCGGCCCGGCGTCCCACCCGCTGGCTCCCCTCCCTGCCCCAGGCCCCAGGCCCCAGGCCCCAGGCCCACCAGCACGAGAGTCTCCAGCTGCTGCCGCCTGAGCCTGCCCTCCATGGCCAGTAGCTGCGCCTCACACTGGAACACCTGCAGCTGCAGCTCATCCGCCTTCTCACCCAGCTCCCGCACCTGCTTGCGCAGTGCGTCCTTCTCCTGCAGGCCCCGGGCATGCTGCAGGTGCAGCTCCTCCCGTGTGGCGATGGCCTGATGGGACAGTGCAAGGCCGACCCTCAGTGAGGCCCCCAAGCTCGCCCTGGGCCCTCGGCCTGGCTGTCCAGCTCCGAGCAGAGGCCCCCGGAGGATGTCAAGCCGCTGGGTATGGAGGCTGGCCACAGCCCCTCCCTTTATGTGCTCTGTGAACATGAAGTCAGCATCTGAGGGATTGTAAAGGTGACAGTTGTCCCTGCTGCCCTTCTGTCTCCTCCCAAGCCTGCACTGCCGGTGGACACAGCGTGTGCTGTGCACTGGCCCCCGCAACACACACACACGTGCACATTTGATAAATTTTGGATGCGGCTTGATATGGAGATCCTGACTGTCCATGGCTAAAACTCCTTCATGAGCGCAGCACTCTTCACCACCCCTGTCCCCACTGCGGATGCTGAGGTAGGTACAGGAGCGAACGTGCAAACATGACGGTGTGACCACCCCTGCAGCTGAGGCTGGGAGGCCCTCACCTAACCCCTGCCGCTGGACTGGAGCAATGGCTGGCAGCTTCCCTAATCCCTGGCCAACCTGCTCCCGCACAGCCCCGTGGGAGCCCTCGCCCTGGGAGCCACACCAACCCCCATGGGGGCACGACTGGATCTGCCCTTTTTTCCCCATCTTGGGGTGGGCCAGGCGCGAGTGAGGCTGTGGTGGGGCCTCGACAGGAGCTCTGAGCCTGTGCTCCTCTCATGGTGGCCAGGGCTTGCTTTATGGCCCCCGGGGTCTCGTTTTAAGGCTCCTGATGTGGACAAACTGCCATCCAGAATTTCGCCGAAGAAGCAGTGGTGTCCATTGGAGACAACCTCCAGGATGGGACTCGGGACGGGGCATAGGAAGCAGACACAGCCCTGCCCCGTGACGCTCTATCCGGCTCACAGCATGTAGCACTCGAGGCCTTGCAGGCCTCACTCCGGTGGCCCAGGCTGGAGTGGCAGGCGCAATGGTGACTTGCTGCAGCCCTCAGCCTCCTAAATAGCTGGGACCACAGGCATGCCACCCCACGCCAATTTTTTTTTTTTTTTTTTTTTGAGTTGGAGTCTTGCTCTGTCACCCAGGCTAGAGTGCAGTAGTGTGATCTCAGCTCACTGCAACCTCTGCCTCCTGCGGTTCAAGCGATTCTCCTGCCTCAGGCTCCTGAGTAGCTGGGACTACAGTGGCCACCGCTACTCAAGCGCTAATTTTTATATTCTTAGTAGAGACGGGTTTCACCATACTGGCCAGGCTGGTCTTGATCTCGTGACCTCAAGTGTTCCACCTGCCTCGCCCTTCTAGAGTGCTGGGATTACAGGCATGAGCCACCATGCCCGGCCAATTTTTGTATTTTTTGTGGAGTTGGGATCTCACCATGTTGCCCAGGCTGCTCTGGAATTCCTGGGCTCAAGTGATCTGCCCGCCTCAGCCTCCCAAAGTGCTGGGATTACAGGCAAGAGCCACTGCGTCCAGCCAAGTTTTTTTTCAAGATTAAAAAAAGCTACTGGTAAAACAAGACAGAATGTTTTCATAAAATCAAAAAGATACATAGATAGATAGGTGATAGATAATAGATAGATAGATGATAGATAGATGGATGGATGATAGATGATTGATAGATGATAGATTGATAGATGATTGATAGATGATTGATTGATAGATGGATGATAGATGATAGATTGATAGATGATTGATAGATAAATAGATAGATGATAGATGGATGGATGGATAGTTGATAGACAGATAGATGGATGGATGATAGATGATTGATAGATAAATAGATAGATGATGGATGGATGGATAGATGATAGATAGATGGATGGATGATAGATGATTGATAGATGATTGATAGATGATCGATAGATAGATGGATGATAGATGATAGAGATAGATGATAGATGATTGATAGATAAATAGATAGATGATAGATAGATGGATAGATGATAGATAGATGGATGGATGATAGATGATTGATAGATGATTGATAGATGATCGATAGATAGATGGATGATAGATGATAGATTGATAGATAAATAGATAGATGATAGATGGATGGATGGATGGATAGATGGATGACAGGTAAAAGTCTGTAAGGTGGAGCCGGAAGGTTGAACACGGTTTTCCCTGAGAGCAGGCTGGGGTAGGGAAGTATTGACTTCATCATTGTTTACTTTTTTTTAATGTTAAATATTACTTCTGTCATTTAAAAAGCAGGCCAGGTGTGGCAGCTCAGCCTGCAACTCCAGCGCTCTGGGAGGCTGGGGCCGGAGGACTGCTTGAGGCCAGTAGTTTGAGGCCACCCTGGGTGACATAGCAAGACCCCATCTCAAAAACAAATAACAAAGATTAAAAACTCCGTGACAACTGCCCTCAAGGGGTGTGGCCCTGTGCACCCACCCGTGAGTGCGGTGCTTTGCCCGCCCCGTGAGGTGCCCACCTGGTCCCGTTCAATGGCCACCTCCTCCATCTGTAGCAGGATGGCCTCAATGCGGTCCTTGTACATCTTGGAGTCTTTACGCAGGGCCAGGCACTGCAGCTCGAACATCTCCTTCTCCTCCATGCACTGCAAGGGGCGGCAGCTCAGCCCCCACAGGCCTGAGGCCCCCCATTCTGGCCCTTGGGGTGTACTCGGGGCAGGGGCTCAGGAGCATGTGGTCAGGCCAGTTGGGATGTGGGGGGAGGCCATAGGAGTCCCCAGGCCCCACCTTCCAGGCACGGAGTGGGCGGAGCTCAGCCCACCCAGCGTGGCTTGGCCCCCAGGAGCCGCGTCGCCCTGCCTGCCCTCCTACCCGGAGGCGTCGGGCCTCGCCCTGGCGGAGGTCCTTGCGCAGGGAGAAGATGGTGTTGGCCTGCTCCTGGTGGTCCCGCAGTGCCTGCCGCCAGTCCTCTTCCAGTACCTGGATGTAGGGGCTGCTCCTGTCCAGCTTCCCCTCCTGAAGGGGGCAAAAGGCAATGGCCTGGCTGGGAAGGCCCCGGCTGTCCTGCCCGGGCTGCACCCGCCCTGCCTGCGGCCCCACCTGGACGGAGGCCTCCAGCTCCTGCACCCGGGCCTGGAGCAGGGCCTTCTGCTGCTGCAGCTCCCACAGCAGCTCCTGGCTGGGCCTCTGCTCCATGGCGTGCCTCAGCTTCAGCGTGTGCTTGCGCTCCACCTTGCAGTCGTCCTCGGCCTTCATGAGGCTGTGCTTGAGCCGGTCAATCTGCGGAAGGTCCGGTGAGCCCGGCTGTCCCCTCCAGGCGGTGACAACGGACCCACGGGGCCACCCCCGACCGCCCCAGCCTGCAGACCCCGCCAGGCCAGGCAAGGGGGGCCTGGTTCCCCGGGGGCAGTGGGCGCACCTCCAGCTGCAGGTCACGGTTCCGCATGAGCGCGGCGCCCTTCTCCTCGCTCTGGCGTGCCAGGCGCATGGCCAGGTCGTAGTTCTCCTCCTTGCAGCGCTTGAGCTCACGGCTGCCGGCCTCGCACTCCTCCTTGAGCCTCTGCACCCGCTCCTGGTGCTTGCGCAGCAGGCTGTCCTTCACCCGCAGCTCCTTGATGAAGTCATCCTTGGAGCTCAGCAGCGCGGTCAGGTCCTGCACCTTCTTCTGCAGCTTCATGACCTCGGTCATCAGCAGCTGAGTCAGGCCTGACTCCCCGGACGCGTCTGTGGGCCGCGCCAGCGTTAGACGGTGCCTGTGTTCCCCGGTGGCCCAGCTCTATCACGCCCTGCGCTGTGGCAGGAGCTCAGGGCTCCTAGGGATGGGGGCTGGGCAGAGGACCCAGCACCCCTGCCCGCCCCCACTGCCGCCTTCCCCGTCACTCACCGATGATCATGGAGAAGACACGGGCCGGCTCCTTGCCCGTGACCTTCTTGTACAGCTGTGGGTAGTAGAGCTCCAGGCTCTCGAGGAAGGCCACGTAGCCCTTGTGGCCGGTCCGCTGCAGGATGTCCAGGAGCACGCCTGCGGGCCAGAGGGGCCTAACTGAGGGCGGGGCACAGGCGAGGCAGAGGGCTGGGGTGGGTGGGCCCGGGGGCAGGGACAGGTGGAGGCTGGGATGCAGACGAGGTGTGCTGTGGTCTGGGTCCTGGATGAGGCACCCTGTGGGTCTTGGTACTAGGCTGGGGACAAGATGCTGTCCACCCATCCCTTGGCTGTCTCAGAATCCCCCGCTGTGGTGGGAGTCCCACTGCACCTCTTGGCAGCACCGAGCTGGCAGGAGAGGCTGGGGGATAGGGTGGCCATGTGCCAGGGTTGAGGTTGGGCCTCACTGGGAGGCCAGGGGCAAAGCCAGGCAGGGCTCTCCTGGGGTCGAGGGTCAGGGTGGCAGAACGTGCAGCCACCTCCAAGCGGGCTCCTTGGTTGGGTTTGGGGCCTGGGGCCTGCGGGGCAGCACTGACCCACTTTCCGTTTGCGGATGACCAAGTTGGGGTCACTGAGCACCTGCTCCTCATCGTCGGGGTTCAGGACCTTGCACTGCCGCAGGTAGGGCGTGATGCGCGAGGGGTCGATGACCGACGTGAGCATCACCCGGAAGCCCTCCAGGACGCTCCAGCACTCATCATCGTTCTCGTAGTCCGACATGGCCTCGCAGGCAGGCTGGGGGGTGTGGGGCAGCCGCTGAGAGTGACGCCGGCTCCCGCCCCCACCCAGGCCCGGCTCCCACTCCTTCTCAGACGCTGGGCCAGGGCTCCCGTCAGGGCTGTCGAGGGGGTCAGCCCAGGGGCATCCAGGAGAGGTGCCCAGCTCCATGTCCCATCCCCACGCTGGACCCCCCAGCGAGGCGGCAGAGACACAGTGACCCGCTCCCCACCAGACCAGCCGAGGGCCCCTCCACAGCCTTTCCCAGCCCCTGCTCCTGCCCCTTGGCCATCCGTGTCACCCAGATATGCAGCGGGGGAGACACAGATGGGGTCTGAGAGAGGAACTGCCTCCACAGCATGACTCGCCTCTGGCCTCTGCCTCCTGGACACTCCCACCATGCCCTGGAGCCTACTAGGGCAGCCACCTCCATGGGTGGAGGAGCTGTGGGCACCTGCCTGGCACTACGGCCAGCCCAAGCTGGGTGAGAGCAGGTTGGCCAATGACCCTCCCACTAGGGCAGCAGCTGGGGGAGCTGGTTCTGGCGGAACTTCCTCATTCCCCTGACCGACGCCTGCTCACATCCCGGGCTGTGCCCTCCCTCCTCCATGGCCGGCTGTTGATGATGCAAGAGTGGCCACCCAGCCCTGCCGCAGCTGCCAGGGTCGCTGCACTGGCCGGGAAGAGCTGCCCACAGGAGCGTGCCTCTGTCACTCCCCGCCGGCCCGGCAACGCTGGGAGGGGCTGTCAGTGTTGCCCTTGGCTGGCCAGGAGTGCTGCTGTGCTGTTTTCTCCAGGGTCTTAGGTGCCGGGCACCCGTGAATCTCTGGACTCTCCTCCTGCCCCCGATGAGGCCCGACCCCCATCCCACTGGCTGAAACAAGAGAACTACCCATGTTGGGACCAGCTACTGCTGTCCCTTTCTGCCAGCGCGGTGGAAGCCTCAGCCGCTGAAAACCACTCCCTCTGGGACTGGGACTGGGGCAAGGCTGGGAACAGCCACATGGTCCTGCCTCCCACGCAGGTCCCCGGTCCTCAGCCTCCAGCCTGGTCCTGCCTCCCACGCAGGTCCCCAGTCCTCAGCCTCCAGCCCCACTGGGAAATGCTGGTTTCCTGCCTAAAGGAGCTGGGTCACTACTCCTGGAGACACTTGGTCTTTTGAAGTGTTTGGTTTTGGTCTTTTGAAGAATTTCTCAACTTCCCACTGTACTTTGTCACCCCATTCAGGACAGTTTTGACAGACAAGGGGCTGAATAGAAACACCGGCCACACAGCGGACAGTCCTGGGAACACTGGGCCCCTTTCCTGCCTCCCCAGCCTGAAATGCAGGGTCCCACCTGCCACCGTAATGCCACTGAAATGAACATGTCTCCGCCCAGTGGCCATGAAAGGGATGGGGCAGCGCCACGGAGGCTGCCTGGCTGCCTGTGGGAAGCCTCATGCTGCTCTGCGGGGATCAGCACCAGGATCCTGAACGAAGCCGGCGCCGACCTTCTTGGTCACTTTTCAGAAAAGTACCAGACCCACCCACCTGAGGGTCTTCCAGGAGCCACCTGCACGGCAGACGCACCAGGAGCCTGGGACGCGGAGCCTCGGGGAGATGCTGCCTGGGGCTGCAGGGAGGGAGGAGCGTGTCGGACGCCTGTGCACTTCCTGGTGGCTTAACTCCACAGTCCCGCCAGTCCTCCCACAGGGGGACAGTCCCTGGTGGCCTGCCTTCTGATTCGCGCAGCCCAGGAGGCCCCGAGAGGCAGACGGAAGTGGAAGTCCTCTGCCCTCCAGAGGAAAACTGCTCTCAGCCCTCCCAGCCTGGCCGGGGGCCGGGGGTCCTGAGAATGCCCCAGAGGCCCAGCCCGGGCACCTGGCAAGTAGAAGACACAGCAGAGATCCCCAGGAGGCTGGATGAGGCCAGACCGCACCCAGCCGCTTTGACCTGGTCATAGGTTTCTGGAGGCTTCTTCAGGAGGGCATGCTCTGCCCTGTGCGGACACCCTTGCCCTTGCCGGCATCTCAGGACAGCGGGGCAGGGCATGTGCAGGGGGGCGCACAGCCACACAGCATGGCCAGCACACGCCTTGGTCACGAAAGGGCTGCAGCCCACCTTATGGAGCCCAGGAGGCCACTGCAGCCTGCCAGGGGCCATGGCACCGGCCACCACCCAGCTGCACATGGGGGAGAAGCGTCCCTTTCAGAAGTGTCGCTCGATATCATTATCCTCGTCACGAGGCATCCCTGCTCTTCTCCAGGATGCACGTGAGGACTGAGGCCACTCCCAGGGTCCCCCAGACCAGCTTCAGAAGCACCGGTGACAGCAGGGCACAGCTCGCCCCCCCATCCACGGACAAGGGGCAGCAGAGTCTGCCCTGAACTGTGCACTTCAGCGTGTGGGCTGCTGGAGCCTCATCCCTGCAGGCTTGGGAGCCCCCAGGCCCCGCCTCACCTGGTAAAGCTGGTTGAACCGAGTTGCCACCCAACAGCTTCGAGAAGGGGGCTGCCAGGCTGGAAGGCCAGGAAGCTGGTGCGGAGCTCGCCGAACCGTTCCCAGCCCCCGGCCCTCAGGCCTGACATCACGCATTGAGGAGTGGAGTTAGGGGTCCTCTGGGGCTCTCGGGAATGCCACACTCCAGGCTGGGCCCCTCGCCAGCGGCATGAGAGAGTGTGCAGGCAGGAACGCCGTCCTGGGCCCTGCTGGGGAGTGGGCCCGAGCTGGCGCCAGGCCCTCAGGACCCAGTGTTTCCCCAGCTTGTAAAACGAGGGACCCCAGTGATTTCCCTATGGTGTCCGTCCTTAGGAATTAACACACATACCATGTTCTCTAACCATATCGGAAGCTAAAAATCAGTAACAGGTATCTGGAAAATCCCTAAATATTTGGAAATTAAATAATATACCACTAAATAACCCACAGGTCAGAGTGGCCACCAGGAGACTAGGCACCAGTTACTAGAGAACCAGGCACAGCCACACATGCTCAGGAGCACGGCCGGCCATGGGACCGTCCTGTCTGCCGGGTGCCGAGGGCTGAGGCCCCACGGTGCTTCCAGTGAGGGAGTGAAGCCCAGAGAGCAAAGGGCCTGGGGGCGCTGCTGCCACAGAGACGAAGGAAAGGGAGTGAGGGGACAGACGGAGAAGATGGGGGCTGGTCTTATGCCAAGAAAGGCCCACGCGAAAGGACAGTGAAAGTTGTGGGGCTGCCATCGTGTCTGGGTAGCCAGGTCACCTGTTCCAGGGAACCCCCTGGGTCAGCTGGGGCGGTGCAAGGGCTGGCAGCCATCTGGGGAGGGTGCCGGCTCAGCATGAAGAACAAAGCCACAGGTGCTTTCCATGAAATGGGCGAAAGCCTGCTTCTCTGCTGGGAGGGCAGCCAGGGTACAGGAGGCCTCGAGGACCCCAGTGCTGGGCCCCCAGCACCCTGCCTGTCCCCGAACTGCCTGCACTAGGGTGGCTCAGCCACCAGGCAGTGGCCTGACCCCAGTCGGGTGGGGGATCCCTGTACACTGCCCAGTATCTCAGGACAATAAAACCACAACAGCCTGTGTCCGGCTCCACAATTAAAAACAGAACTTTACTCCTCCGAGTGTTCAGGTGTGCACTTGGGGAACAGCTGTGCCCCGTGCCACATGGTCAGTTGGCAGGCCTGCCTCTGTTCACTGCGGACCTGGTCGGTGGATGGCCAGCAGATACCTGGCCCCTGGCTGCCTCTCTCGCAGGTTGGGTATGGGCTGTTTCTCGTCAGCAGGGCCACGGGCTTCTGAGGCGTGCTTGTCCTGGAACACAGAACACCCAGATGATGGGGTGCCCTTGATCCCAGCCAGACCCCAAGCAGCGCTAGGACAGATAGACAGGAACCAAGGCCCCCCCAGCGCCAGTCACTCTTGGTCTGCTTGGTGAACCTGACCCACATGTGCCAAGGGCCAGGCCACCTGCTGTCTGGGCACCAGGGCCCCAGCAGTGAAAAGTCAGCCCGGTGGGCTGTGGTTGGTGATGGTGGGGAGACGACGGAGCAATGCACGGGAACCGGGCACCGCCAGAGCACAGCGGCCAGGGAGGAGCCCAGACCCCAACGAAGGTAGGGAATGAACCTGTGGTCAGGGGCGCAGTGGTGCCAAGGCCCGAGGCACGGGTGGCCAGCAGGAAGGATGTGGGTTAAATGCTTCTCCCCCTGGAGGGCCTCCATGACCCAGGACCTGCCCACCTAACCCAGCACAGCTGCTGTGGGCGCTGAAGGCCAAGCAGAGGCAAGACCCCCTGTCTGGACCACTCTGTCCCCTGAGCCGTAGGGCAGCGGCCTCCCCACTCAGGACTCACCTGCTGCTCACACCAGCCGCCTCCGCTTCCGGGTGTGCCTGGCATGCCGGGTTCTGAGCACATCAAGGTCGTCAACATCAAGGTCATTAAAAGCATCCAGGCAGGAGGCGGCAGAGCATCTACCAGAGTCTGGGGGTCCCTGAAACAAAATCCAGGCAGTGGGGACCAGAGTGACCCCCATCCCCCGCGCCATGATGGGCGAGGAAGGGACAGGGAGTGAGAAGGGGTCCTGTGGGCGAGTGTACCACTTGGGACCGGGCACCCTCAGCTTGGGCAGGAGCTGCTCCAGGCACTCCTGGGGCCACACATGACGGTGCTCTCTCTCCCTCGGGGGCTCGGACCCCGTCTAAGCCATCCCTGTGGCAGGCCTCCTGCTCCCCCATGGGGCGGCCATCACAGCCCGGCAGGGCAGGAGGCTGCACACGGATGTGGCACGGGGGGCTCTTCCCCTGGCTGGCCGGGGTCCTCCGCCTGCTCTCAGGCATTGCTTCCTCCCTCACTTCAGCCTAGTGACTTGTGACGCACAACCCTGGGGAGAGATGGAAGGCCTGCCACATTCCCTACGACAGGCCCACAGGTTCAAGCTGAGGCTGCCTGCTTCTGGTGGTTTCTCAGGGAGGCCAGCCGCCGGCTGCTGCAAGTGGGCACCCTGGCACCAGGTGAGAAGGCCTCTCTGGGGGCCCCATCCACGTGCTTTCTCCTTCAGGGTTCCGAGGATGGTTTTGCCTACAGAGCTTGGAAAACTCTTCCCAAGGATACTGAGAGAAGTGACAGCTAAGAGGGATTTTTGGGACCCCAGAAATCCAGGGACAAACACAGCCACTACCGTCCACTGTGCCCATGGCCCACCCTGCTCAGAGCTGGGTCAGCGTCCGTCCCAGAGCTTCTCACTGACAAGGCCACCTGGCTGGGCAGCACCAGGACGGCCAGGGGCTTCTGCACGAGAATGAGGCCTCTCTTCTCTTTTCCACACTGCCCCAGAGGGAGGCCACTTCTGCAGAATCTACACGCAACTGGGCAGGCCAAGAGCCAGCTTCCTCCTCCTGAGACACCCAGCAGCCAGCCTTCCTGCCCACAACTTCTACCGGCCCCCACCCCACCGCTGCAGGCAGGCAAGGGTGCCCCAGGGACCGCCGCCCGCGTGGGGAAGTGGGGCCGGGCGCGCCCCTTACCTGAATGTGGCGTGTGGCCGCCGTGCAGCCCGGCTGCCCGTCCCTGTCTGCGAGTTCCAGCTCGCTCAGGAGGTCCTCATCCTCACTCTCGGAGCCTGCTATCGAGACTGCTGAGAGGGTGGTGCGGACACCATGGGGGGCCAGGGTGGCCAGGAGCGCAGGGAGGGTGAAGGCTGCCAGGAACCGTGCCCGCAACAGGAGGTAGGCTGCGTTGTCCCGGAGCTGCCCCCGCACCAGCCCCAGTGAGGCTTGTAGCGCTCCAGCCGGCCGCTCAGCCTCGCCCCCCGCCACCAGGGAGGCGGCCTTGTGCTCCAGGGCCTTCTTGTGGAGCAGGAGGCTGGACAGTGCTCGAAGGCTGCACAGGGCCGGGGGCTGGTAGGGCAGTCTGCTTCCCAGAAGACGTACCCGCACCCCACGCTGGCCCCCCAGCCACTGCTGTGTGGCCGCCTCAGCCTCCTGGGACAGCAGGCCCAGGTCCAGGGCCCCCTTCTCAGGCCCAGGCTGGGGCAGGGGTGGCTTCTCCAGGTCCAGAGTTCCCTTGGGCTCTTGTGTTCCTGAGGGGGACCCCAGCGTCCCCCCTGGCTCACTTGCTGGAATGACACCACCAAGGGGTGGCAGCCTCCTGGGCAAGGGGGGTTCTGCTTCAGGGGGGTCGGCCTGGGAGGACGTCCTGGGTGCAGGTATCTCCCTGGCCACCTGGGCCTCTCCAGGGACAACAGCCACACTGGCATCCACTTCTGCAGGACTTCGGGAGGCGGCGTGTGTGGGAGGGGCTGGGGGGACTGTCCCGCAGGAAGGCTCTGGTCCTGAGTTCACATTGGCTGGGGGCTGCCAAGAGCTACTCAACGCTGGGGCCCCGGGGCCCTGGGCCGCCTGAGCTTCCGTCAGGGGAGGCAGCAGAGTGGCCACCAGCCCTGTGGGGCCAGGCGTCCCTGCTGGACTGGAAAGGCCCACCACAGCTGGCACAGGAACAGGGAGAAGCCCCTGGGCTGTGAGCACCCAGGTGACAGGCAGGGGGACACTGGCCGCCACACGTGGCCCTCCTACGTGCGTCAGGCTGAGGGGCTGGATAGGCAGTGGGGTGGGGCTGGGGGCTGCAGGGAGAAAGGGTGATGCCTCAGGCAGGCTCTGCTTCCGGGATGCAGTGGGGGCCTGCGACTGTCCGAGACCACTCCCAGGGCAGCTCACAGAGACCTGGCTGGGGCCCAGGCCAGGGGCTCCGGAAGCAGCAGGGGCTGTGCCCTCGGGCCCTGTGAAGGCAGGAGCGAGGGGCAGGGCTTGCATGGTGGAGAGTCTCTTGTCCTTGGCTGAAGGCCCAGCCTCCTGCCAGGAGCCTGAAGTGCCAGGCTTGGCTTCTGCGGGGGTCCCAGGCCCCGAGTATGGAACATTTGAGACAGTGGGACCCAGGGCTGGGTGGCTGTGTGGGGTGTGCGGTAGAGGGGGCTGGAGGATCACAGGCGAGACCAGCAGGTGGGACGGGAGCACCACCGGGCCCTGGGTGGCCTCCCTGGCACGGGCCTCCTGAAGCCGCTTCTCCTGAAGCCGCTTCTCCTGAAGCAGCTCTGACACAGTCTTGGGCTTGGGCCGGGGGCCAGTCGGAGCCAGTGGGGACGCCTGGGGTAGGGTGCCCTCCACCTGGCTGGACGCCAGTCTTCGGCTCCCTTTGTGGCTGGCACTCTTTGAGGCTTCTTGAGCTGGCACATTTGGGAAGAGGTGGCCTGTGGGGAAGAAAGACCCACACTTGATGGCCCCAGGCATCTGGCCCAGGGACAGCCCCTCGCTGCCATCCCCTCATCAGGAGGGATCCCATGAGGAGTCTAGGGTCTTGAGCCAAGAAGGGGTCAAGTGGCATGTCCTGGGTCTCCTGAGTCACAGTAGCTACCCCAGACCCCAACGCTCTGGTCAAAACCAGGGCAGTGGGCACTCTGGGAAGCCCAGCCAATTATGCTGGCTGAGACCAGCTGGGAGCCCAGGCCTTGCCCGACGCTGCCGGCGTTGGGCACGGGCGGACCCTCGCTCGAGACGACCCCTGCCTCCGGGCCCCACGCTGAGGAAGCCTCAGGGCTGCAAGGGGGGCCCAAGGAGCTCCAAGCTGGCCCAGCCAGACTCTCATCCCTGTGCTGGGACTCGAGGGATCTCTGTCACCAGGGGCCACAGGCTGTGCTGCTTGGGGGCTGCAGGTGAAAGCCAGGGCCAGGAGACCTCTTCCCCACCAGGGCAGAGAAGCAGAGGGTTACCTGGGGTGCTCTGAGCACTTGAGGGCGCCTGGAAAAGGAGAGGAGAGTCAGCAGCTCAGATGTCCTTCGCGGGCCTGGACCACCTCTCCTAGCATTTGGGCTGTCCCCTGCCACTCCCTGAAATGGGGACGAGGCCCCAAGGGCTGCTGCTGGCCTCCCACACGCCTCTGCAGGAACTCCGGGGCCACAGGAGCGGCCAAGCGTGTGGCACAGCAGGCAAAGGCCTGGCCTCGTGCACCCCCTCAGTGCAGCTCCTCCCAAGGGCGCCTTTGAGAGCTCTTCCAGGGGGTTGGGGACAGGGTGGGGTCCACAAGGAGAGGCAGGGGGCTGGGAGCTGGAGGCCCAGGGGTACCCCACTGCTGTCTCTGCTCCTCCAGTGAGTGACACCGCTTTGTCACCGCAGCCCCAGGTGACGGGGCTCGGGGTGGCCTCGCTGAACTTGTGTGAGTTTGGTTTCTGGAGCAGAAGGGGAAGAACCAGGCACCCCCAGCAGACCGCCCACGCTCCCCCAGCAGACCTCCCACGCTCCCCCAGCAGACCGCCCACGCTCCCCCAGCAGACCGCCCATGTTCCCCCAGCAGACCGCCCATGTTCATGACCGCCCGGCAGGGCTACGGGGGAACACAGGCACGTGGGCCCCAGTGTCAGCCCCGACCTGCCCCTGCCTGACCTCCCCCGGCCTCTCAGGGCTGCGTCCCCTCAGGTGGGAAGTACAGATGCCTCCCCAAGGGGTTACGGCGGAGCGGGTGGGGCGGGCAGGGGTCACCCTCACTTCTCACCGCGAGCGTCTGCTACCTGCAGAAGATGCATTGGTGGGTCCCGAGCACCAGCCTGGGGCAGCCTGGGCGGCAGGGCCTTCCTCTCTCGGACGACCTCCAAGCAGCCGGCAGTATCGATCTGGAACAGCTGAGAGACACGGGAGGCGGCCTCACCGCAGCTGCTTTCCGTAGCAGCTCAGAAGCTCCAGAGGCCTAGGCAGAGCCCGGGGCAGCCCTGAGGCTGTGCCAGCCTCCCGTCTGATGCAGACGCGGGGGAGGCAGTGAGGCTGTGGACATCCAGGAGGGCCTCCCATGAGCCCCAGGCCTGCTCTCCTTCCCTGGCATCTTCCACTCATACTGGGGCCCCGGGCACCCCCTTCCCCAGACACCGTTTAGTGGGGGACAGTGCACGCTGTAGCTGGCACCCCTTCCACGTTCACTTGCTAACAGTGTAAGGCATGGAAAGTGCATTTTCAAGGCTAGAAAACTTTAGATAACTAGATTTTACGGAATGAATCTACTGCAGATTTCAAAACTTCACCAAGAACTTTTTACAAGGCCAAGGAAAACGAAGCTCTGGCCAGGTAGCTTACCTGGGTAAACAGGGTGAACACAGGGGTGCTGGCCAGGCGGGCCTGCTGCAGCTGCTCCCTGAGGCCATCCGCTGCGGGCACAGGGGGAGAAGTGGAAAGCAGCCCCAGCGCCCACGGGCACAGGGGGACAGGTAGACAGCAGCTCCAGCTCCCACGGGCCTTTCGAGGAGGCTCTGGGAGCCCTCAAGACTGGGAGCCAGGCCAGCGTGGGAGGGAAGCCTTGGAACCAGCACCCCACAGCCACGGCTGGACAAGGGTGGGCCCTCTGAGCCCTGTCACCACACAAAACAGTGTTAGTCCAGCTGCCACGTGCTTGGCCCAGGAAGAGTGGTGGGGCAGGGAGGGAGGGCTAGCTGACTGGGTGTTCTGAAAACCTTCAGGGATGGGAAGCTGACAAGAGGTGGGGCCCACCCCAAAAAGACTCCCCTGCTGAGGCCACTTCCCCAAGTGACCACCGTCTGCTAGGCTGGATGTACTCGTCACCCTCACCCCGGCCCCCAGAAGGCTCCCAGAGGAGCCCCAGGCCATACCTTGAGTCTGCACTGCGGCGGGTCTCTGGGGCACCTGTGTGCAGGGCAGGACAACGTCCCCCACCCAAGGGGTCACAGCCAGCAGCAGCCTGCGGTTCAGGAGCCTCCGGTGCAGAGCGTGTCTCCAGCGCCGCTGCCCACTCTGGGTGGCTCTGTGCCGTAGCCACTGCACATGGGACCGGGCCACGCTGTCACCGGAGCTGACCCCTGGGGACGAGGTGGGCAGGGGTGGTTGTCTCAGCTGCTCTTTCTGTAAAGAGAAGGCGGCACCTGGGGCCCCTGGCCAGGCTCAGCCCCTGAAGTGGACCCTGCCCGGTGGCCAGTGCTGCCCTCCACCCCCGTCAGGGCATGATTGGCGGGGAGAGGAATCCCTCAGACCAGGGCGGGGTGTGTGGTGGCGTGGGTGCAGGTGTCTGCGGCAGGCCTCACCTGTGTGCGGCTCCGAGCAGCCGTGTTGGCCCTGAGCACCCTCAGCACGGTCTCCACAGGCACTGTCAGCCTCCCTCCCTGATGAGAAACTGGCCTGAGGCGGGGCACGTGGGGTGTGTGGGGCACACGGGGGCCTCCGCCTCACCACCCACATGCAACTGCCTCTTCACGCAGGCTCCAAAGCGTGCCTGTGCACAGCTGCTCTGCCTCATGGGAACGTCCACCATGGGAAGTGTGGGGTCCCCAGGCAGGGCCTTCCCACAAGGCCTGGCTCCTGGGACACTAACAGGGTCCCACGCCCCCCAGTCAGTTCCTCAGCCTGACAGCAGCAGCCCTTCCAGGTGACGCCCTGGCTGTGCGGCAGTGAGTGCCATGCACTTGGCTCTGCCAGTAGCTTCAGTGTCCACTGTCCCCGCCAATAACTCCCAGGACAGACGAGCCTGTTCAACTCTGACTGCTCCCACAGGCACGGCCAGAGATGGGCCTGCACCTAGGGCCTGACATGGTGAAGACCAACCAAGACGGGCAGATGCACCACGAGCCAGGCTGGTCCTAAGTGGGTGGACAGGCCCTTCCCAGGGAGGGCCTCCAGGTGCACAGGCTCACGGCGAGGGAGGAGGGGCTCCTCCCGCTGCCGCCTCCGCCCCCCAACCCTGACTTGGGGGTGAAACGTTTCAGAGATGCCTCCAGGTCCAAGTGCCCATTCAGCCATATCCCTGAAACAATCAATGAACCGGGAAAAATGGAGGCTTCCCCAACAGTCCCCACCACGCGCAGCTCTCCAGAGCTCAGCCAGAAGCAGCGCGTTCTGATGCGCACGAACCCTGGGGACCCCATCCCTGAGCGTCAGCCCTGGTGAGCAGTGACGAAAGTGCATTCCCATGGTGCACCGGGGCCGGGGCCTACCTCGAGGGCCTGCTTCTCTGCTCCCACCGGGTGAGTGTCCGCCGAGTGGGAGGCCTGGGCAGCTCTCGGGACAGGGCTGTGGGCCGTAGCACGGGCCTGCACTGCACTCGTCTCCTCTCCAGGAGCCGCGGCTGTGGCGGAAGCTTCCTTGCTGCCACCTTGGCTGGCACTGGATCCCTTGGGGGGGCTAAGGGAGGCAGCGTGGCCTCCCAGCCAGGCCCCTGCCCCTCCTCTCCATGGCTGGCTGGTGCTCTGCCTGGCAGGAACCCACAGATCCATGTCCGGGACCACATACTGTGGGGACAGCAGCGCTCTGTCACCCTCCCCAGCCTGTGCCTGCTCTGGCTCTGGCTCCTCCTCCTCACTGCTGCTGCTGCTGCCCCTTCCGCTGCCGCCACTGCCACTGCTGCTGCTGCTGCTGCTGGAGCTCCACCGGATGCTGTGACGGGCCCTCCGCCGCCGCCTCCGGAGACCCTGCTTCTTCTGAGGGGAGGAAAGGGCTACTTAGAGGCCTTGGCGACCCCAGATCACCCATGACGGCAGCAAGCAGGCCAGCCCTTTGGGGAGAGGCCCAAGTGGGGCACCTCTGGGGTCAAGGGCAGCCACTGCCGAGGCAAGGTCTCCCTCTGCCCTTGGCCACCCAGAAGAAATGCCAAGGCCAGAAACCGAACGCCCCCCTTCCCTCCACCTGCCCCTCCCCTGCCCCCGCCGTCCACTTGCCCCCCGACCCCTCCCCTCCTCCTGCCCCCCCCCCTCCTCCTGCCTCCCCACCCGCTCCTGTCTCCCTGCCCGCCACCTCCCTCCCCTCCTCCTGCCTGCTGGACTCCCGTCGACCAGGCTGTTATCTGGTTTCAGACAAGGAAAGAGCAAACGGCTCACCCCCATCATGATCTTCCACTTGCTCAGACACTGGGAGCCGGACCGATGGGGCAGTTCAGAAGCTATTTTTGCCCAGTGACCTACAAAAGCCAAACCCCATGAAATGGCTTCATCCAAAGATTCTTCCCCAAGACAGGCTGGCTGTTCCCCAGGAGACTTGCTGTGGGCCCCATCAGAGTGGGGCCTCCGGTGCACCCTCACGCTGGGCAAGAACCAGGGGTCAAGCATGTCGGGCACGTTGGGCACCGACAATTTGGCAGCATCTGATTCTCACTGGATGCTCAGCCCCTTAGGAAAGTTCTGCCAAACGTGTAACTGAGAAGGAGAATCGTCCCTAAGCACACACAGCCCTCACATATCTGCTCCCCCCAAGGCTTCCACACCAGCCATCTCCCACGATTCACGCTCTTCACACAGTGCGGGACAGCGGGAGAAGCACGGGTGCTGCTCTCACAGGGCAGAGCTGTACTATCTGGTGTGTCCTTGAACATGGCAATACCACAGCTAGGATTTACTCTAAGGAGACATTGCAAATATAAGCAAAGACTTAGCTATAAAACACAGCTCACTGGGTGTGGTGGCACACACCTGCAGTTCCAGCTACTTGGGAGGCTGAGGCAGGAGGATGGCTTGAGCTCAAAAGTTTGAGGCTGCAGTAGGCTATAGTCGCGCCACCACACCCCAGCCTGGACGACAGAGCTTGCTCTGTCTTTATCTTGATCTCTTTTCCAAGAAACAAAAAACAACAAAAAAAAGAAACTAGAAGAACAAACTATCAACAACTTACCAACACCGTATTTTCCTATTAATTCAATTAACTGTTCCTCTTCTTTCAAATTCCACCGTCCCTTTTTCAAGCTGAAATGTAATCTCCTGAGATACCTGAAAGTCACATGAAAAGCAAAGAACATTTTAGATGCTAAGATGCTACCCACCGCTGCCCCAAGCTTCTTCTTGGATACGACACTAAAGTGGTTTCT